ATATTGAATTCAGATGAGTTCGATATCAAAATTTTACAACCACACCCTTCACAAGAATTATACATCATTAAATTATATCACTAAAAATCTAGTAGGTGACAAGTATTTTTATCGTGCATAATTTTTACGTAAGATAAGATGAACTTAAATGAAGCGACAAAGTAGTCAAGTTGGGATGGAGGATCCCAAGTTGTTATTATACAGTAGAAGAAGTACAGATAGGTGAAAAAGACAAGAATGAAAATGGTGGATCATTTAGAAAGGGGGGTCGGTATCAATCCAACTACCTTACTCACTAGTCATTAAAATTTCAATTGAAATGGACTTAAAAATACGTTTGATCGTGAAAATTATGAGTATTTAAAAAACGTATCAAAATTTAATTCTAAAAAAAGAAGATGTGGCATTATGAAAACCAAGTCTTTAACAAGTCTCTTGAAGAAATTGGGTGGTTGGAGAACTTTTACGTGTGCAAAAAACGAAAAAATTACATGTTATTTCTAGACGATTGTTAATTAGAGATGACAAAGCAGATTTCAAGTGTAAAAATGATTTCTTAATATAAGAAATTTGGTGTATAGGATAAACATGTACGTTATAAAAACTTCTAAAAATACCCAATTAGCATTAACATGGTTCTATATATGAAGAAAAAAATCTCAAAATACCTAACTAGCATTATAATGCATGTTAAGAAAATATTGTACTCATTTGACTTTTGTCTATACAATGTATCTATCACTATTCTTGATTTATCAAATGTTGGTCTGTTATTTATGAATTAATTTGGTGTAAGCATTAATATGATTGAAAAGTTCAACTAAAATTTTCACTAATTAGAACAAATTTAATTTCGAACCAATATCATTCAACTTACCCATTTTTGGGAAAGATTATTTAATTTCTTTTTCCTTTTTAAAAAAAAATTTGTACATTTCTTTTTTGACAGAATACATGATCGCCGACCTCCTAAATTTACTAGTAAATTTTATTTAAATACTCAAATTATAATATATTTTAATTGGACATTCGAACACATAATAAAATATTCATATTTTGAGTTCTGATTATATAATAAAAAAGTTTTGTATGTGTTTCCGTGTATCATTACGTAGATATGTAAGTTTAAAATATGTCTCATTCTTTTATATTATATAAATCAATGACAATTGAAAGAAGCTTTAAGTTTTACGATTTATTAGTCTAATGTGTATTAATTAAAGTAGATGATATATTTTAAATAATTAACTTATCTAAATGTAATGAATGTTTGAAACATGCGCATAAGTTTTTCCTAAATTTTGCATCAGAAATGTCTAATAGAAATGTTTTAGCATGTGTTCTGATGTTTAGTTAGAACATGTCATAATTCGATTGTCTGAACAATATTTACTAGTGAGTTTAAGAGGTTGTTGGTATATTCATTCTTTTTCTTTTATTTTCTTTTCTTTTATTATACTTTCTTTTTCTTTTTTATGTTGTTTCATAAAATTTTTTAAAAAAAACTAAGGTTTATGGTTGAACTTTATGGTATTTTTGTGATCTCATTCAAGCAGCTTAATTTGTTGTTAGGTGCCAGTTTTCGGTTCTTTCTCATTTATTGTTAATTTAATTTGTTATTTATATTTATAGTAATGAAAATGAGGTTTATTTGTCTTTTTTTCTCTACAAATTTAAACAACCACTACTTAAAAAAAGGGGCCCATTATGGATAGAAAAAAATCCATAGCAGGCAAACGATACAAACTGAAAAACAATTAAAAACAATTATGGTGTCAAATACAATATGTCGATCCTAAAAGCCGATCAATTATTCACATGTCCTTTAGGATGACTTAATTTGTTTGGAGAGTGATCATCCACACGAATGATCTCTGGTCGATTCTCTGAGTCGAGTCTATCACGTAGGGCTTGTCTAGTGCGATTTACATTTCATATGTGGTTTGTAGGCTATTATATATGGGGGGTTTACCTGTGTACACAAAATGCTCACCCGAAGGACAAAGACTATGACAGAGACGGTAGCGGCTGCGGGTTATCCTGAGTTAAAAAAAAAATCTATGTACAAGGAATTTCATTTTGTAGTATTGTTTTCAAAATTAATTTCACATAGATAATATGATTTATAACACGGTAATAATTAGAGTAAATGATTTAAACATAGCAATCCCAATTTAAGCGAGGATCTCTATATTTTGGAATGTTACAAAAGGTTTGCTGCTAGTTCATTCGGTAGAATTAGTTGAGATGTACGCAAGTTAGTTCAGATATCATTATTAAAACAAAACCATTCAAAACTTTAATTTGCAGAATTTTCAAATTCATTTATCTATTTAATTTGTAAATGTTGATTTATTATCTTTTCTCTATCGCTAGCTTGAAATCCGAAATTTGTCTCTGCAACTTTTATTTGATACCATCAACACATTGGATGAGGCTACTTCTCTCTTAATCATAAGTTTCAGGTTAGAATTTTAGGTATGAAAAATTCTTGATAGGGACTAGGGAGCGCTACCCCCCCCCCCTCCTTAAATGGATCCTTACGTGACGCAAATCCGATCAATTAGTTGGGATCCAATATGGATATCGAACACCAAATGAGAAACCAAAAAGAAATAATCTTACTTTGTTGAATATATATAATATATTAGCTACTTACAATTTTATTTTTCCTATTATACCCTCAACTTATCAACACTGAGTTACTGTCTTTGAAAAATGTACTAGTTAATATGTTTGGAACCTTATCAATTAATAGGGATAAAATAATAAATTCACAATACTAATCATTATTTTCTTAATAAGTGTCTTAAGTCAAAATTTAATAAGTAAATAAGGACGGAGGGAGTAATTATACTTTCATGCGTTTCAATTTATTTGTTCTACTTTCCTTTTTAATCTCATTTAAAAGGAATATGTCTGCCCCCCAAGGCCTAGCTCAAGTGGCAAAAGGTGGAGGATTTGTGGCTTAGGTCGCAGGTTCAAGCCCCACACCATGCAAAACAAAGTCCGATATTTAAGTGAAGAAGGGTAAAAGGTATAAAGCGGAATAGTTGCAAATCATCATCTATTGTTGCACCACAACTTCTTGAATGTTGCTCCTCTTTGTATTTTTAGGTTAATTTTGAGAGAAGAAAATAATTGAATTTTTCAGGGTGTAGAAAATCCCATATGGAGGATCAAAAGCTTCGTTTTTCGTATTACTATGTCTCTCAAGTCAGTATGAGGAACTACTGAACTCAATCACTTATACTCGCTATTCTTCATTTTTCTATTGAGATCTATCTTACAGAAGTACTCAAATTGAATCAATACTCGAGTTTTAGAGATCAAGATTTTAATTTTATGAACCATAGTTTCAACCTCGCTAGAGATTTGAATGCTATTGAAAATTGTGATTCATCTTAACAAATTTGTATTTATAATAATTGTAATTATTATATTATTAGTTGCCATTTGCCCACGAATCAATTATTGTGGGAGCAACCATATAATACATTTTGATATCTTCTTGCCCATTTTGTGTGTGCTACTGATGTCATAAAGTGTGTTAAGTAATTAAAACAAATATCACAAGAAAGTACTAATAACTCCTCAAAACTAATTGAATGATAAACATGCTAAACAACTAAACAATATCATATCATATCTCTGAGTATATTAGAAGTATTAATTAATCATGTGAAAATACATACCAATAACTTCACAGTCAATTCTAGATACTTCAAAACTAACTAGCCTATCTCACACTTGCTTACGTGATTTAAATACTTACAAATAACAAACATATCATGTTTATAAGAAAAACAAGCAAATTAAGAGTTGAAGTCTTCCTTACCATATAATCAGTAGGTAATTTTTTCTTAAAATATTATAATTAACTTGTTCAAACGATCCTCAATGACCTCAATCTATACATAATCATGCATACCTAGTCTAAATTAGTCTAAGGAAATTAATTCCATAATTTTTGGGCGCTTCATGGTCAAAGTCAACTCTTGATCATCTCAAATGTACCCCTCAAGTCAATGGTTAAAATTTGGAATTAATTGCATGAATATGCCACCCCTAAGCTATATATGGAAGACCAACAATGGAGTGAAGTCGTAACAAGATAACTTAATCGAAAGGTGCGGCCCCTTGTTCGAAAGACCCCCCCCCCCCACACACACACCACACACCACACACACTTCAATTGGTAAAAAAGAAAATACTTTTATAGTAATATATTATCTAAAAGGAAAGATAATTGTTGTGAAGGGATAATATTACAATGAATATATTGTTATAAAATATGTTGTTGATGTTTTTGTTGATGTCATAAGTATAATATAAAAAGTAAAATATAACATTTTTTTTAATCCAACTATGAAATTTGATTAGAAAATATAATTAATCGAAAGTTAAATATGTTCATAAGGATTAAAAATGAAATTAATTGATAATTGAAAGGCTAATCTAATGTATTTAGTCGTAAACTTTAGAGATTTATCTTCAAGTATCTACTATTTAACTATGAAATTTGATTAAATTTTAAAAATATAATTTTCAAATATTTTCAAGTTCTCGTACTAACCAGGTTTTTGGAAAACTTCCGCTCCCATTCACAAATTCAAAACAAATTAAAGTCAAATGCATGTTTAAACACAATTTAAATTTCAAAAAAAAAAATCAAAATTTTAAATTTCAACTTCTAAATCTAAAACAATCTATAGCCAAAAATTACAACTTTCAAAAACTCATATTTTCCTCATGTAAACCAGGTTTTAGGAAAACTTCCGCTCTTGCACATAAAAATTCAAAACAAATTCATGCATGTTTAAACACAATTTAAATTTCAAAAACTCAAATTTCAGAAAATCCAAGATCTAGAACAATCTATAACCAAAAACCGCAACTTCAAAAACTCAAATTTTCCGAACACGTGTTCCTATAAAAAGCATCACATTCTTCATTTCCCCTTGTAGAATTTTCCCTCCTCTTTTTGGAAGAACAAGAAAATGGCTCTGGATCCAACAGCCTTCAAAACCATCGTCCCGTCCCGGTACATCACCTTCACAATCCCAAATCTTTTGCTTCATCTTCATCACTTCAATGCTTCTCAACTCCGCGTTGCGGTTCTTGATTCTCCGGCGCCTTCAGAACCCGTTCAAATCGCTGCAATGTTGGTTCCGATCGGCCGGGAATCCGATTGGTATTTTTCAACCGAACAAGGTCATCTTCAACTCATACTTAACTTCCCTCAGCTCTCTCGACTTGTTTTAATTGGGAATTCGCCAAATTCTACGAACCCCACTTCGTATAATCCCCTGTTATGTACCGATGGTGTGGCGGATTTGTCTGTTGTTGAAGAGAATTTGATGCCATTGTTGATTGAGTTGATACCCAGATCGGCATTTTGTCGAACAGGTGATGGGTTATGTGAAATTCCATTTTTGAGCTATGAAGATGAGGTGATTCGGAGTTTGGTGTTGGATAGATGTGTTGGGGAGTTTGTTGGAGAGATGTTGATTGAAGATGTTGAGTTGGAATCGGAAGATGGGGGTGGTAGAGAGTTTAGAAGGAGATTGAGGTTTAAGAGAATGCCGAATTTGGTACAAACACAGATAAAGATCCGACCCAAGAACGACGATTTTGTTAACATGGAGGAAGTAGAATTTGAGATTGTTGATGATGGGGTGTTAGTTCATCCTTATTTGACTCCAATGGTGGCGGGTCTTTCAGTAATCCAATCATTCTTGGACGCGAAAATTGGAAATGGGATAAAGCCAAAAGCTCTATGTTTGGGTGTTGGAGGAGGGGCACTTCTTGGTTTTTTAAGCTCTCAATTAGGATTCCAAGTCTTGGGTATTGAGGCTGATAATGTTGTTTTGGAGGTAGCAAGGAGATACTTCGGGTTGGAACGTGGTAACTCAATACGTTTATGTGTTGGAGATGCACTAGACATGATTGGGAAATTCGCGACTCAAGTTGAAAGTGATGGTTTTCGTGGTTACGTTTTGGAGAATGATGAGCATGTGAATGATTTCGATGGTAAATTTGATGTGATCATGGTTGATTTAGACGCGACTGATTCTAATATAGGTATGAGTGCTCCTCCTTTAGCGTTTTTCCAGAAATCCGCGTTGTTGGCCATAAGAACATTGCTTAGCAAAGATGGTGTTGTCATCATAAATGTGATTCCTTCAAACCAGACATCTTACAAGCTAGTAATCACTGAATTCAAAGAAGTTTTCGCTGAGTTATATGAGATAGATGTTGGAAATGAAGATAACTTTGTTCTTATTGCCTCAGCTTCAGAAATCGGACATGTCTCCGTTCACCGTCAAAGTAAATTTCTAAAGAAGTTGAAACAAGTATCAGGATCTTTTCTGGACTCTATAAGATTGATCTGAAAGGGTTCTTGGTATCTCAAGTAAAATTGTGCAGCATATGGAGTAATTTTTTTTGCTCAAGTTTTCAATAGAAACGACAAGCCAGGACAAAGGCAAATATAATGTTTTTTTTGGATGATAGAGAAACCAAATTGTATAAAGTTTGAGTTACGAGAATTACAAACATGAATCTTGCTTTCATATTGGTTTTTGCATTAATAGAAAGTTTGTGCATTTTTCCATAGGAGTTTAATGCAATGTTTGCTTGGTGGCTTAAGAAAATATAATCCTCCCTTTGTTAATCCCTGTATAACACTTTTGAGAAGGAATTTTTCTTCTAAAAAAAAATAGCAACAGGTGCATGTCGGATCCTAAAAAAGCAGTGCATTTTGGAGGATCAAACACGGGAGTGACAATATTTTTGGAGAGCCGTGCAACATAGCTTCAAATTGATTACAAATTTTTCATAATGGTAACCTGGAATTTTCTTATGCAGCAACACCTGGTACCAACATATATAACATCCAGAGGCCAATAGTTGATTTTCAGAATTCAAAGGTGGTACGCCCGTGCCAAGCTACCTTCAGCCAGGCGTCTTTTCAGTATATGCAAGCTCCAGATCAACACACGACATGCATTCAGTCGGAACTCCTATAGCTAATAGACACACTTGTTTTTGGAGCGAACATCAAACTTCTTCGTAAGATAATATCACTAGGGGAGTGCTCAATCGACCAAAGGTTGTGTTGAAGGCTCAGTCTAAGCAGAGAATCTGATGTAACTGGGAGATCATTCCTTGAAGAATATAACACAATCTAGAGCAATCAGCACCCACTTAACTCTACAAAGATATCTGATTAAGACAAGTTCTTTCTAGCTTTGAAAGGTGCATTACAACCAATTCATTTTTATCTTGATTGTAATATTAGATAAAAAGGTCAAAACAACAATAATAAACCCAATTTAATCCTACAAGGTGGGGCCTGGGGAGGTAGAATGTAGGTAGACCCTTACCCCTGCCTTGTGGAGGTGAGTTATGCACTTGCCGAAAAAACGAACACGAGTCTGTACCATGGCAGGGTACTATTCTACTGCTGGTGCTGGATTATACAAAGGTCAAAGCATCAAAAGATTTTATGTAATCACTGCTCAAAACTTGTTTGCACAGCAACTGTGCAACTCATGCAGTTTCTTCGACAATTGCTGCAGCTCACAGGTTCTCCAGTTTAGTACCTAATGCAGGTGATCAGAGTAGCTATTTCAGCTCAAAGTCTTCTCCAACTAACTTGAGCTCAGCTACACTCGACGAAAACTTGATACCACCTATAGTGCATCCAATCTTGATGTCTCATAATTGGGCCATGTGTTGAGTTAAATCATTCACTTGTTGATATAATTTGCAATATGATTTGGAGCTGTAAACATCTATGGATGAATAAAGCTTCTTATTTCTCTCAGAAAATTCATGGCTGTTTGAAGCTCATTACAGTATTCTCTTTAAGCTTTCTAAAACAACCACAAACTATTCTCTTTATCCTGATTTACTTATGCTTTTTTGGCATCATCAAGCACTCATAAGGCGGAGCTAGAAGCAAACGTATGGGTCTAACCAACTAGTTTTAGTTTAAACTATCAAGAAATTCACTAAATACATACAAAACTTAAATTCAGAACCAAGTTACTAACACTTAATATCGTCATCCTAAAAATTAGAACCCATAAAGTTCAAATCCTTGTTACGCCTCAGCCAATCATCGAGTTCTTATTTCTCAAGTTATTGCCCAAAGCCCTTTTCTAATGCTTCCTCTGTTAAACAATTGATTGGTTCTAAAACTTGCAAGTAACTAAAAGAAAAACAACAACACACCCAATGTAGTCCCACAAAGTGGTGTCTGAGACGGATAGAGTGTATCCCGACCTTACCCCTACCTCTGAGGCAGATGGAGAGGTTGTTTCCGATACACCTCGACTCAAGGAAAAACAGTCCAAAGCAGTCCAGAAAAGATAAAAACAACAAACACAGAAACAACAAGAGGCTGATAAAAAAAAGGAAGTTTAGCATATAACCAAGTTTCAATTTACTTCTGAGAGAGTTCAAGCTAAACAAAATAAAAATACTATCTTTACACTTAAAAAATTAGTGCAATTACCCAAAAATAGCTAAAGTAGAGTAATAAGAATGAAAATTAAAAGAGCAGCAATAAAAGAGTACTTAAGAGCAGCAAGAAGAATAGCCAATGCAATCACAAACAGCTGCCACAATATACTTACACTAGCCCATGTCAACAGACCCGTTAACCCAACTGCCACAATATTATCCGGGTCAGGATCCAACAAAAGGTCCATCCATCTCAAATTCAATCTGGGTTTTCCTCCACCATCACCATTACCATTATTACTTCCATTTCCATTGCTAGAACCATTGTTCTTCAACCCATTTTCTTGATTTTCAGTATTGTTTCCCCCATTTTCTGCTGCAAAAATAAGAAAGTGTTTTCTTCTAGGGCAAATCTTTGATTTGGGGGTGTGAATTGGGGAAAAAGGGAAATGGGTTTTGGTGATTGAGGGGTTTTGTAGGATTGGTAGTGAATAGGAGAGGGATATGTACATTGAAATGGCCATGAAAATGTAGGAAAATTGATTAGAGGTTCAAGGAAAATGGAGAGGAATCAAACAAAAAGGTTTTTTATTTAGCTAAAATTATGATTTGACCTCTTTAAGCACTTTGGTCCTCAAAAACTTTCAAAATGTTGCTCATACATATTTTTTCTAGGGATGGCAATGGGCGGAGCGGATGCGGGACGGGGTGGGTTTAAGGCTATGTGGAATGGGGTGTGGCGGATGCGGGGTGGGTTGAAGTGGAATTTTTAAAACTTAATGTGGGGTGGGGCGGATTGCGGGTACATGTCATTTTATGTGAATTCAAACTTAATTTTAACTTTTTATATGTTATAAGGGGTCGTTTGGTAGAGTATATAAGAATAATGCAAAATAGGGTGTATTAGTAATGCTTGCATTAGTAGTGCTTGCATTAGTTATGTTTGCATTATTTCTTATACACTGTTTGGTTTAATGTATTAGAAATAACAAATCTTGCATAATTTCTATTAAAAAAAATGTATGTTTACAAAAATACCCTTCACACTTTATTTCTTTGTACACTTCCTTTGCAATAAGGTTCTTTGCTAAAACATTATTTACTCCTATTCTTTCTTTTTTTTCAAATATAAAATTAAATAGTCGTTTGTGGTGCAAAGAATTACACATATTGCCACTGTTGTCACACTTTGAAGTGATTTCAAGCAAAAATTACAAAACTAGTGTAGCCACTTATATCACAAGTTCACCGTACTTCAAAGTTTATCATGGACAGCCATCCACATCATTGTCTGACGATCATGTTCACCCATACGTAAAAATAATTCCATATTTTTGTCGTATTTACAGAGAATCATTGCAGCTTTTATACGTTGCTTTGTGGTGTACAACTCAAATACAGGGGATTTAATGATAGAATAAACTTGACCACGAACATCAGATCGATCACGATCCCCTATCTTTTCAATCAAGGAACCAATTCTTTTATCTTGACTTTCAGTAAAGTTTTTCATAACTTCCATCATACCCTTAAGAAATGTCTCACTATCATCCTCTACTATTTTTTCCTTTTCTTGCTTTTCTCTTTCTCATTAACATTAGAAGATGATCTTTTAGAATACTCACCTTGTTTATGAATTTTTTGGGATCCAGTATGTTCATTTTCAGAACCAGCAACATTTTCTCCTTCTGTAACGACCCTAAAAACGAACTAGTGAAACTAGAGCCTCACTTGTGAGTTTACAGTTGAGAACTTGATGAAATGATGAGAAATGACCGTGACGTCCAGAAACTAGTCATTTGAACTAGTGAGTTGTAAGGGTCAACTTTAAATGGTCATATCTTTTAGCTCAAAATGAATTAAGTGGACCTTTACCTATCCGATTAAAGTTCTTTGAGTCCTCTTTCCAACGCCACCGAGTTTGCCCAATTCCAACCTTGGAGTAAAAAGTTATGCCCGAAATATTGAAGCACTGTCAGGCTGAAGAAAAGGGCGAACTAAGACGGAAAGGGGCAGAATTTTTAAGTTAAGACTTTATGGGTCCTTAGTCCTTTTCCAAAATTGACCCTATGCTATTTTATTCTTTTCCTAGCAACTATAAGACCTTTTTATGACTTAATTCCTTTCATTTAAGTCACTCCTCTTAGAATTAAAAAGAAACTCATCTCCTTTCATATATTTCTTTCAAGTTCAAGGAAGAAGAATGGTGAAGAACTAGGGTTTCAATTGGAGGCTTCTTTCATCGATTTTCGTGGGCTTTCTCAATATTAAGGTATGGGGACTCTTTATCTTTGATCCCTTTTCAATCAAAGAGCTAATTCAAAGTATTTTCAAAGTTCTTCAAAAATCCTAAAGTCCTAATTTCGATTCTAGCATGGGTTCTTGCATAAAACGGGTTTTAAATGATGATTTACATTGTTATTAATGATCATTAATGGTGTTTAGAAAGATATTCCCATGAACCCATGTTTTCTCAAATTCTCTAAATTTCACCATAAAGTGGGTGTATTGATTTTGAGTAGATGATTATAAAAATTGTGTTTAGTATGGTATGGGTTGTTCATATATGGTATTATATATGTGAATTGTTAAGAATCTTTATTGAATTGAAGGATGTGGGATGTTGGCCTTGAATGGGCAAAAATTGTGAATTTGTCTTCATGTTGATTATAGGCTTATGCTTAGCTTAAATGGTATAGTTGAATACCATGATTACCTATGCTTTCTATTGTGAATTGTTTGATCATGAGAATGGTGAAGGTGGCTTGGAAAGGATGGTAAGTTGACCTACTTTATGAATAATGTTGAATTAGTAGGAAATTGAGTAATATTGGTTATGGCTTTGGAGAATGGTAAGATGGTTTAATCTCTTAGTATTGTTATAATTGTTATTGATTGGTTTGATCCACCTTTGGTGGAGGTGGTTATTTGTTGTATTATTGTGAATTGAGGCCATGAAGGGCATTATATAAATGTTATTATATTGTTGTATTATTATACACATATGAGGCTATATGTAAAGTCCTATATGAAGCTATATGTGAAGGTATGATGTGAATGGGTTTTATGTGAAGGTATAATGAGAATGAGTTTTATGTG